TCCCCTTGCTACCTCTATCAGAGACAGCAAGGGGCGGGGAAAGCAGGAGACTGTGCTGGGTGGAACAGTTTAAAAGCCCATTCTCCCCAGCACCAGCTCTGTGGTGACACCTGCCTGATAGAGGCAGCATTGTGAGGAGGAAGAGAGAGAAGGGAAGCAACAGCCCCTGCTAGCAGTGGGCCCAGGCTACTTCACGATGACAGTCTCTACTGCTGGCGAGCCTGGGCCCGTAGCAGCAGCCCCTGTCCAGGGGATGGGAGAGGGTGGGTCAGGAGGTGTTTGTGCGCGTGCGTTCCTGGCGGACAGAGGCTGGTCCCCGGCAGCAGTCTGGAGTTTGGATCCCCCACAGCATCAGAGGCAGCACTGCAGGGCGGCAGGCAGATAGTCCATGAGGGGAGCTGGGTTTTAAACTGGTTCCCCTCGCAGACCAAATCCTGCCTGGCACCCCATGCTGCTGCCTCTGATACAGAGGCAGCAGCCCAGTGTAGCAGAAGGCTTCCCGGACTTTGGTTGGAGCGCACTGGCTGCCGGCCCCACCCCTGGGACTCTAGGATAGTGGACTAACCGCTAAGAATTCATGCGGTTAGTTGACTATTCTATTACCGGCTATCCAACATTCTTTATTTGGTATACTTTTTTGAAAATTATTTTTAATACTATAGTACACACTGTACAATTATTTTTAAGTAGAGGGAGTAAATAAGTGGACCAAATCTGGACCACTGGATGCTTTTCCCATTATCTTCCGGAACGTGGACATTGATTACACCTCAAACAAGAAATTTGGATCTTGACAAAAAAAACCTAAGTGATTACTCTGGTTCTTTAGGCTAAGAATTTTTTAAAATACAAAAATACAAATATATTTAAAAAAATTTATTTTGCAAATTTACATTTGAATAATTTACAGTATTTTATCTATTCTCACTTCAAATATGACTTGAAAGAGCCAAAATTTCTTCTTCATTGTTGTAAATCAAACTAAAGTTAAAAACAGAAAATATTCAAACAAATTTAGTGTATTTGCATGAACATGAACTTGCCGATGCCAGATGCATGAGAGGAAATAAACAGAATAGAGAATCATCAAGTGATCCATTCCCTGACACCCATTCTCAACTTCTGGCAAGCCCCATCAACACCCATCTTGGCTAATAGCCATTGATGGACCTAACCTTCATCAAGGTTATTTCCTTTTTGAACCTTGTTATTGTCTTGGTTTTCACAACATCCTCTGGCAAAAAGTTCCACATGTTGACTGTGTCGTGTGAAGAAATATTTCCTTTTGTTTGTATTAGAAATGCTGCCTATTAATTTTATTCAGTGACCCCTACTACTTGTATTATGAGGTGTAACCAGTCATGATTTTAAAGACTTCTAACATATCCCCCTTTGCTGTCTCTTTTTCAAGTTGAAAAGTCTGTCTCAATAATTTCTTCTCATAAAGAAGCTGTTCCGTATCCCTAATAATTTCTGTTCCCCTTTTCTGAACCTTTTCCAATTCCAATATATTGGAACCTTTACCCAGTCTGGTTACTAGTGTTCTTTTACCTCATAATCAATTACTTGAATTTAAGCAAATTTTATGCTCTAATCTACAGAGTATAAAAAGCATGAGATTTTTATAACTATTTTTCAAAACACCATGTATACTGATGACCAGGCCTTGACAAATGGTGGCAAAATCTGCTCACCAGCCCCACACTGCGCATGCGCAAGATCCGCACTGCACATGCTCGCGCCGCTGGTGAACAGGGCAACCGGCTGAAATCTCCTCACCCATGGCGAGTAGATTCAATGATTTGTCAAGCCTGCTGATGTCTAAACCACTGAGTTACTGGAAGTCTCAATAATATTTTGAATAACGTAGCAAAGAATGATCACACTTCATGGATTTTTATTATATACAAGCTAGGGATGGTAGTGTGTAGCAGTTCACACATTTAACCAATAAGACTGGGTGCCTCGATTAATCCTAACGGTTACATACACATATACAGCGGGGGGGAGGGGAGAGAGGCGGGAACTGGTGCCCATTGGGAGCTCCCGCTGAGCCACCTGCCAGCTCCCACTGAGCCACCTATTCCCCTCCCCGGTTGCCTCCCATAGAAGCAGCACCAGCTCCTATAGAGCTGTCTGCGCTCCCTGCACTGCTGCAACGGTGGGGCAGGCAGGAGCCAGTGCACACCAGGAACTGGCTTCAAAGACAGCTCCTTGCAAGCACCAGCTCCTGCCTGTTCCCTTGCGTGTAAGCATGTACTTGTAAATGGTTAAAAATCCAGCGGTTTCACATTTACATAAGTACACATTTGTTAACATACCTAATACAAGTATACCCCACATCTGAGTGAGCTAACAACATTACCCATGCAAATTGCAGATGTATAAATCCTCAACTAGAGAGAATTAGGAACAGTTAAAATTAGAATGAATGCTAATATACCAATTTCTTTAATCTGAATTATTACATGAATATGGAATGAGGGTTTTTTCCACAAACTTTGTATGTGTCCATTTCTTAGAAAACAGAAAACAAATACAACAAGTACAAAGGTAAATTCATACAAGCTTTAATATGTAAACATTTTTTAAATCTACACCATTTAAAGACATTACCTCATAAACAAAATAAAAGCTGAAATCTAACAAGAAAGATTCTGGTTTCATTTCTTCTCTCTACATTTTGAATCAGACTGTTTTTTTCATATAACTTTTTTTTCCCCATGTATATGATGTCTGAATCAATGACAATGCTGGTACAGTAGCAATGATCATTATAAAAAACGTCTGACTGCACATTGTGTTTTACTACTATGTAGCACTTTAAAGACTAACAAGATGGTTTATTAGGTGATGAGCTTTCGTGGGCCAGACCCACTTCCTCAAATCAATAGTGGAAGAAAATTGGCATGACCATATATACCAAAGTATATGATCAAAAAAAGGAACACATGAAAAGGACAAATCAAATTTCAGAACAGAAGGGGGATGGAGGGGAGGTAAATGTCTGTGAGCTATCAAATTAGAGGTGCTATATTTGTAATGGGTAAGATAATTAGCGTCCTTGTTTAGACCTAGGTGTAAAGTGTCAAATTTAAGCATGAATGAGAGTTCAGAGGATTCTCTTTCAAGTCTGGTGTTAAAATGTCTTTGAAGCAGGATGCAGGTAGTTAAGTCCTTGAGACAATGCCGTTTCTGGTTGAAATGGCAAGACATTGTTTTTTCTTTGTGATCCTGTCTAATATCTGTTTTGTGTGCATTGATTCTTCGGCAAAGTGTCTGAGACGTTTGTCCAATGTACATGGACACTTTCGGCACATGATAGCATAAATTATATTTCTGGATGAGCAGGAATATGTGTTCTTGATCTTATAACTCAATTGGTTAGGTCCAATAATGGTATCAGCAGAATGAATATGTGGACAAAGCTGGCAATAGGGTTTGTTGCAAGGGAAAGTTCCAGGGTTGGTATTAGTGTGGTATGTCCTGTGGTTGTTGATAAGAATCATCTTTAGGTTAGGTGGTTGTCTATGGGAGACTATGGGTCTGTTCAAATATAAGTTTTAGTTTATTGATAATGTGTTGGACGGATTTAAGTTGGGGGCTGTAGGTGATGACAAGTGGTGTTCTATTGTTGGAACAGGATACTAAACTCCGAGAGACTCTGGGAGATAGACAACCCCCTTCTGTTCTAAAATTTGATTTGTCCTTTTCATGTGTGTTCATTTTTTTGATTGTATCTTTTGGTATATATGGTCATGCCAATTTTCTTCCACTATTTGATCTGAGGAAGTGGGTCTGGCCCACAAAAGCTCATCACCTAATAAACCATCTTGATAGTCTGGTCTAGCTGAAACAAAAAACAGGATTATGTAGCACTTTAAAGACTAACACGGCTATATTTCTATTACTGTATTTTACTAGATAATTGATACCAATACACTTAAATAATGGCAGATGCCCTTCCTTTTCTATTTTGCTGTTGTGCAATATCTAAAGATTATTTTCCTCAGTTGTATACCACTAGTTAATCCATTAAAAAAAAAAAATCAAGAGTTCCATTACGTGACAGATCATTCACTGGATTTCACAATCAAAATGTTTAGCCTGAATATTTAACAGATGTTACTTTATGAAAATTCATTGATTTCACTATACTGAGCAACTAAGAAAAGTGCCTTTTGAACTTGAGACATTTCACTTTCAGCAGCAAAACTGTGCAAATTGTCCAGAGAAGCTGTTTTTCCCCCCTTCTTACTCTGAAGAAGTACAGATAAAACAATACTAGAACAACAAAGACAAACTATCACAAACTGTACTGCTGGCTGTAAAATAGGGACTCATGTTTAAAGCAACAACATCCAACTTTTGTACTTGAAGGATTTCATGATAATATGCCATCATAAAACCAAACAACATTTATTTACATTTAACTTTCAGTTCCATGCCTATGTCGAAGCTTTATTTACATCACTGCAGTTACAAGAAAGTATGGTTGACTATTCTCTTCAAATGTGCGAAGTTTATAAAATATCTAACTGTAGAATTAACAAGCTTCAAACACATTAGAGAACTGTGTAATGAACTGTGTTAGTCAAATATATATACACTAAATGTTAGGGAACTAAATATTATATAAGTAAAACTATAATGTAATCATGGGTAATTTTTAGTGAAAGTCATGAACAGATCACAGGAAATAACCTGTCCATGATTTATATTAAAAATATCTGAGATTAAATCTTGGGTGGGGAAGCAAGTGTGCTGGGGGAGAGGGGGAGGGAGAGCAGCTCCTGCAGGACAGGAG